TATATATATATATATAATTAAATAATAATATAATAATTTCCTTGGTGACTTGTTTCTGTCTTTTTGTGCACTCTGGCTCTAATGAAATGTAATTCAGTCAGTTGTAGTAACAGCTCTGCGACACACATCCATGCTAGTTGGGAGTTCAGTCGTCATTTGAAGTTGGCATCACTGTTTGGGGTGTGAAGCCAGTGGAGGAAGGTGGAAAGCCTCCTCCTCCCCTTCAGGTAGTTAGGTATGACCAGACGGCTCAACAATCACCAGGTCTTTCAGGTCACTGAGTTTTTGGGAGAAGGAGCTGAGCCTGGTGCTGAAGGAGCCTCTCTTCTGTCTGTGGTCCTCCCCGCGGGCCTTCAGACAAGCAAACAGACCCTGGCAGAGCCCCCCGAGGCGGCCCCGGAAATGGTTTCCGATAAAGCAATAGAGCACAGGGTTTATGGCCGAGTTAGAGAATCCCATGCAGAGAGTGAGGGGGGTGAGGTTTTGGGTTGTCCAATTCACCAAGCAGCCGTTCAACCAGCCCTCGTTCTTCAGCAATTCTAAGAAGGTCACGCAGTGGAAGGGGAACCAGCAGATGAAGAAGGCTAGGACCACCGAAGCTACTGTCCATAACACCCGCTCCAGCCCCCTGCCCTCCAGGGGTCTGCCCACGCTTGAGCTGGGACTCACACAAGGGGTCGGGGGTCTCTCTGGTTTAATGCAGTTATCCTTGGACTCCAGGGATTTAAAAGAGGGCATGTTGGAGGGCTGCGATGTTGTCCGCATTCTTCCCAGCCCCGTATCAGCCAACAGATGCCTGCCAATCGCCCAGTAACAGCAAGAAATGACTAACAGCGGCAGGAGAAAGGCCAAAGCAATCTTCATCCAGGCCAGGGTCAGGTCCCAGGCCCGATCAGGATAGTCAATCCCACAGACCTCTACACCTAACGCAGGCAGGTAGATAGTGTCCCTCAGAAACAAGGTGGGGGCTGAGCAAGCACACGCAAGCACCCACACCACGATGCACGTGAACCGAGCACGTTTGGGGTACCGTGATCCCTGGGAGCGCAGCGGATGCACAATAGCAAGGTAGCGGTCCACGCTCATTGACATGATGAAGAAGATGGACGCGTAGAGGTTGAGGTGGAGGAGAGCTCCACACACTTTGCAGGCAGCACGGCCAAAAGTCCATTTGTAGCCATTGGAATAGTAGACGGCCCACAGGGGGAGGGACAGCAGGAACAGCAGGTCGGACACACACAGGTTCAGCATGAAGGTGTTAGCCACAGTTCTCCTTGAGGTGCTGGAATGGGCCAACACCCAAACTGTCAGGGTGTTGCCTATGATGCCCAGCACACAGATGATGCTATAGATGGCGGGGATTAACGTATTCATGGGTACAGCAGGCCAGTCTGTGCAGGAGGGGGCCGAGGGGGATACAGAGATGTTCAGATAGATCTCTGTTGTCAAGGGGGATGAGGTGGAGTTGAAAAGGGTGATGTCATTTGGCAATGCCATCATTGAACTGGATGCGTCATAAAAATTCCACTTTCCCCTTTTATTTGACTTTCAGCTGGAAATAAGACAAAAACAGAGGGTATTCAAAATCCATTCACCTTTTATGGACAGTCATTTTAAGTTGGCTCCCCAGTGTTTATTAGCTGTCCCACTTGATAACTTATCACAGTGAAAATACATTACACCACTCCTGAAGTTGGGCAGTAATGAAATACATATGGAAGGGTTGAATTAATCTGTTGTATTAATGACATCCTCAGAAACAGTCATTTTGTATTAATGACTGAAAGTTCATGGAACATTCATGAAGAAAGTGGCATCTTAATTTGGGATTTAATAGGCTTACAGGAATCTTAAAAGCCACTGAAACTGATCCTAATATGGTCCGCTGCACCAGAGGAAGGCATTAATAATAACAAGAAATAACAACACAGTGTTTAAAGTATAGGCATGCAGTAAGATAAGGGGATTGCATAATGAAATGACTTTCTCCAATAACAAAACAACAACTGGTAATCATGTTAAGACACTTGGACTAAGGGAAATAAACTCAAAGATGTATTATCAAATACAAATTAAGATTTGATCAAATCCAATCATACTCAATGTATTTAAAGAAGTCATGTTACCTGTGAGTGATTGAGCGTCCAGTCCAAGCAGTGAAGCGGTTTTCAATTCCGCTTTTGACTAAAGTCCATGTCTTGACAAAATACTCCTCGACCTCTCTAAGAGAAATCTGCACTGCTGAATACCCCGGACCATACCATGCCTCTGTATATGTATGTGTGTGTGTGTGTGTCTGTATGTGTGAGTGGAGAAAACAGACGAGAGGCTCTGAGAAACCAGATGAGGTTGGGGGTTTTATAGCCCCCAAGAGTCTCTTGATGGTTGCACAACAGCAAAGTTGCTTACACGTCACACCTTCATCATTACCAAGGGGCTGGACTGTACTGTACCTGGACACAAGCCAGCCTGCAGAGAGGGAGAACATCACCAAATTATGCTCTCTGTTCTTTTCCTACCTCCCAGATTATTTACAAGCAAACTAAGAAAATCAAGTCAAGATGTGTTTGTGTAACTGCTGCGTCTCCGGTCACTGCAGACTCATGCTCGCGTGTCACCTGACCATAATTAATAGGACACCAGTGTGTTCGGGGTGACAAACTTAAAGCCCCTTACTGTCCCTGCAGAGGCCTCTGACCCGTGGAACGGAGGCTGTGTGTTAATTAGCAGAGCCTCGCACTTTGTGTCATATTCGTCCTGCCAGCGGTCAGATAAGCCATGGGAAATATTTACTCTGTCTCAGCGGAAGTCAAGCCAGCCACTGGGGCAGAGGGGGGAGGCAGAATTTGGAAGATGAATGAGGAGGAGGACGAGCAGATACTGCAGGGAGTGAACAAGGAGATGAGAAGGGAAGAGGAGTGAGAAAAGGAGAGAAAGCGGAAATTCCCTCCAGTGGTTTTTCATTAAAGCCTCTGGTGAAAGTTAATGAGGGATGCTTCGCAAAGCTCTGAGACTGATTACATCACAACTCCTTTGATCAACAGTTCGAGCGCACATCTCCCCGTGTGTGCATGTGCGTGTAACACGTGCACGTGTGCATCTATGCTTCAATACTTGTGCAACTGGATGTACTTAATCTTAGCCTGGCATTCACGCATCGACGCAATGCGCCCGCCGCTGTTTACATGCGTGTTGTGATGCATGTGTGCACTCTGCTCCATTGAGTATCTATCAGGATGTGACATGTTCTAATAGCCGTGGGAAGCTGACGGTGAAGATGACGGATGAAGGCGAGATTTCGAAGGCCGCAAATGGAGATCTCCGTCGTTGCCTTCTTAGAGGATATGACAAATTGAGTGTTCGCAGTATGGCACAGAATGAAACGACGAGGCTTTCCAAAATGGAAACTTAATAATGCAGTGTTCTTACAGTGGCATGTGGGCGTCGCAGCCATCATATGAGGGCTGGAAAAGTCCCCCCCACTTTTTCAAATTACTAGTTTAGACCCCCCCACTTTTACCATGTGGAAAATCCGTGAATCGGTCTATCCATTCGTAGCACTTTGTAGAGCGCTGTCTCAGTGCTTCACTATCAAATCCATTCCACTTGCTTATTGAGA